AGTGCTATTGTGGCGATCTCAGAGTATTCAGACATAACTTTAATCCAGTTGTCTCGAACGTACTTTTAAGGCCGCCGTCATTTGCGATCTCCAGCAGTTTTTTTACTCATTTTGCGAGCTCCGGTGTTTGTTTTTAGCCTAATTGGTCGCGTTACGGAGAAGCGTGGCTTGACGTGTGTCAAGCTGGACACAGACGGATGTAACGGAGAATCCGGTAAGTTTTCAAAATAAAACATCTTTCGTATTCCGAAATAAATAAAACGGAATTAAGGCAAGTTCTTTCTGTGCGGCCCGGTACCAAATGCCCGGCGGACCGGTACCGGTCCGCGGACCGGCGGTTGAGGACCCCTGCCCTATACAATCCACCTATCCATTATCTGATCTGCTCATCATCACAAGGGTTGCGGGCGTACTGGCGCCTATCCCAGCTGTCTTCGGACCAGAGGCGCGGTACACCCTGAACTGGTTGCCGAATATTACATTTACATGTAGTTTTCATCCTGGCAGCAAGATGTTGCGGTCAGACAGGCTACATTCACACTGCAGGGCTTAACGCCCAATTCAGATATTTTTGTTGTTAAATCCACTCTTTCTAATGTTCTCATTCACTACTGAACGCGTCCGTGATGTGACACGCATGCGCATAAAGCACAAGTGACCACACACAAAAGACGACGACGACATGCGGCTGTATTTACAGAAGTCAATTTGATGATTGATCATCTTTCATCAGCTCATATCAACAAAGGAGCGATGTGAGAGGTGGTGGATTTATTATGAGGAAATGAGGCGACACTTTTCTTTCTCTTCATTTCATGGAGACATCAAGTAACGATGACATCACGTCATGAAGATATCTATGAAAAATTATGTCACGCCATTGCTGCGCATAATAATTGAACTGTCTGTGTGGTTCAATTACATTTATTATCATACTGTATGCACTATGCTTACAAAGTCCAGGTAGCTAGTTTACACTTTAAATCTCTAATATCATTTGTTCTGCCTCAAACCCAAAATGAATTTTTTGCCCCTTGATAAGTATGGAAATTAATTATATTACAGTGAAACTCCTCTACAACGAAATCATGTTTGCAGCAAGAAATTTTTCACAACAGGGGGTTTTTCACTGTAGCAAATTTGATCTCAGATGTAAGCACACACACACACACACACACACACACACACACACACACACACACACAAATGTATGTCTACACGCACACACAAACGTATGTGTACTCTATTTTTATTCCAATAGTGCATAAGTATGAGCACACACTTATTTGGCACTTCATATTGTCAGTGTAGAAAGAAATAAAGGGAAAGAAATTGAGAAATGTTCGATCAGCATTTTCTTTCACTTACATCAATTTCTTGGACAATGTATTTTATTTTGCTCCCTCCGTCTTTCATTTTGATCACTTTTACCCTCTCTTCCAGCGTCAGAGCGCTTCTTGTCTTAGCTGCTTGACATCCAAAGGTCCGTTTTATCGACATTTTAGCAATGCAACGTTCTTGCTACATCTGAATCTAACAATAACAAATACTTCCTGGACCTGGTGGCTTTTCTTTCCACCATTCCACGGTCTCTAACTCGACCTCCCCTCGATCGCCACCCAAGACAGCGTTGCTCAGCTGATGTCATGCAATGAATTTTTAAGCCAGCCACGGGACGCTTCGTAATCCTCGATGGCCATAGTTAGCGCTCGAAGGCTAAAAACCTTACGCTAACTGGAGCGCTTCTCTCTCATTAGCGCTCCAGT